GGAAGTAGGTTATGGTTTTTATGCTATTCGTAGTAGACTCTTAATAGCGAATGATATGTGTTGGGTAGTATTATAAAACCTTCTATATGATTAATTGTGTGCTTACATGATGTGATCATATAAATGTGATGAATAAGCATGATGAGGCTATTGAATCTCTAATACTAAATTTACCTTGTTAATGATGATGCCTTGGTATAAGAGAAGGCTTGATGAACTAAAGTAATGAGATTGATGATGCCTTGGTATAAGAGAAGGCTTGATGAATTAATAGAATGAGAATTAGGGGATTGGGTGTCACGAACCGACACGTAGAATTAGGGGATCGAGTGTCATGAACCGACACGTAGAATTAGGGGATCGGGTGTCACGAACCGACACGTAGTATTAGGGGATCGGGTGTCATGAACCGACACGTAGTATTAGGGGATCGGGTGTCACGAACCGACACGTAGTATTAGGGGATCACAGTGTCACGTTCCGACACAAGAGGAATAAAAGAGAATGAATCTTGAAATATGTTAATTACTCAACTTAAAGAACCTAATTCCCAAATGAGTATGGTATGGAGGCTTGCGTCCTCATTGATGTGCTTGGTGTTGTGACCAAGGGTTATGGTAAATGCCGCATGTTGAGTATGGTAGTTGATTTTATGATATTATCTGATATATACTGTTTTCTATTTTGAGTTGGCCGATGATATCTACTCAGTACTCGTGTTTTGTACTGACCCCTACTTGTATGTTTTCTTTTTGTTCATTGTGGAGTGCAGCAAATGTACCGTCGTCTTCAACCCAACCGCAACTCTAGCCAGTCTTTATCACACCAGATTTCAGGGTGAGCTAAAGCTTTTAGCTTGGACTGGATCTTCTTCTTCATGTCTTGATGCCTTGAAGTTCTGGCATAGACTAGCTATTATTTATGTTTAGTTTCTTAGATACTCTTAGCTTTAGTAATTTGAGGATAGATGTTCTTGTGATGATGACTTCCAGATTTTGGGAATAATGATAAGTTTGAGTTTTAGAAGTTGATTATTGATTTTGTTAATGAGTTTTAAGTCTTCCGCATTGTTTTCTATTTATTATGTTTGAAATGTTGGGGTTTAGATTGGTTGGTTCGCTCACATAGGAGGATAAATGTGGGTGCCACTCACGGCTCGATTTGGGTCGTGACACCACCTAACTCTACCCTCCTTTTAACAAACACAAAGTTATCCTTGAGTTTTCAGATGAAAGCATTAATAGTCCTTTATGTTTGCAATATTAGTGCACTCTTGGTCCTTCCCTAAAATTTTGCCATTTTTTAAGACATTAATTTTGTCCAAAATTTTATAGAAGGAATCTCCAATCGCCTTTTTATATATTTAGTAGAAATATTAATTCTATCTGAGAGAAGGTGATTAGAAAAACACATTGTTCTCTTCACTGGAAATATTACTACAGCTAAACTAAGAACATCTTAACATATGCCTTTGCAGGAAAAGAAAAAATTGTACTATTACACCTAAAATTATTGTGATGAACCTCTCAACATTACTTGCAATACAATTTCTACTAAACAAAACAAAGTGTTTTCTTCTCACATTCTTTCACATAGAGTTGTTATTTCTACTAAATATATAAAATAACGTTGAACATCCCATACATAGGTTATGAATAAAATCAATGTTAAAAATAGGTAAAATTTTGGAGGAGGACCAAAAGCACACCAATATTGCAAACATGAGGGACTATTAGTGTCTAATGTGGAAACTCAAAGATGACTTTGAACTTTAACCCAAAGAAAATTGACTATTTTGATCCTTTCCTCCGTAGCGGCAAGTCTCAAAATAACCTAACGGGTCATTATATGCTATTTTTGTGTTTGTTAAGATTTTTTCATACTTAGTTTAATTATTTTTTGGAGTATTCCGTGTCTACTTTCCTATGATGAAGATCTCTAATTTGTTGGTCTTGTATCGATTTATGTTTGTAAATGAGTAAAATTGGTTTGTATGAAAATAGGGTCTATTCTTTCTTCGAAGTTGATGACTATTTATAGTTATTAACTTGACAACAAATAAAAGGTCGGTAAGTGGTTGTATATCTGTGTATCTTGTTGTAAACCAGTGTATCCAATTGGCCGTTGAACCAGAGGCAAATCTAGGATTTGGAGGTTGGGGGTGTCACAATATTTGTATGATAAAGGATCGATTGCTTTAATTTTGGGTTATAATTCGAGTTTTTGATTTATTTTTTTTATGTAAAAAAAATGATCAAATATGCATGTTAGTAAAAAAAATTTATAGATATTTTGTGATTAGAGATATCTAAACAATTCAATTTTATTTCCCTTTTGCAATCAGATGTCTTATTCGCTGAATTTTGAGGAAAAAAAATTCACATTAAAATTTAAGTTTGTATAAACCATCTAATTGTATTAACATAATACATTCATCTTTCATTGAATTTATATGTGTTGTTGGAGATACATAGTAGGAAAAGAATAAAAATTGTAGTTCCAACATAATCATCTTACTTAGCAAGAACGTCGGTGAAGATCGAAAGAATCTTTAAATTAAAAAAGAAAACTATAATAATAATATTTATCATTTTTAAAACTACAATTTAAATATATTCTTAATAAAATTTATTTGACGCTTATAATTAAGTACTCATTAATTGATAAAAAAAAAAATAAACATGTTATACTCATATCAAGTGATTAATAATTAGTGCAAGAGAAAGTAAAAAAAAAACTAAAAATTAATCACGGAAAGGGATCAATTTGAATTAATAAAGAACAGTAAATAAATAAGAAAAAATGGTGAAAAAGAAAAGAAAAGGAAAAAGGTAGCAAGCAAAAAATTATATGTTGTTAGTTTGATCCCTATAACGGAAGTATTGACCAAACTAAGTCATTATATAAAGGACTTCAGCAAAATAATATATTTTTAAAAATTTTACAAAATAGTATAAACGTATTTCATAGTAACGTTTTAGAGCATACTTTATTTTTTAAAAGCTGACGGCATTAGATTGATATACGTTACTCAAAAAATATTTTAGGAGTAAAACGTTACTCAAAGTAACGTATACCAACCTAACGCTGAGTTTTTAAAAAATGAAATATAACGTAAAACATTACTGTGAAATATGTATATACTAGTTTTGTAAAATTTTGAAAAAATGAATTATTTCGTTAAAATTGTTTATTTTGAAAAAAAATTGCTATTCCGTATTACATTTACTGGTTGACAAACGTAATATTTATTTAATTATTATACATATATACATTTTTCGAGATCAATGGGTGTTGTGACACCCCACCCTTCCACATAGATCCGCCCCTGCGTTGAACGCAGAGCAATTTCAATGAGATCACATATGTATAGGTTCACTGTTCAAATTAGTTTGGATTAATCTTAAATTTTT